GGAGGATGCTGGGGTGATAGATGTTAATTAAATTGATGGGAATCCTTTCACATGTATATGTATATCAGATCATCACATACACTTCAAATATCTTACAACTTTGTCAGTTATCTCTCAATAAAGCTGAAGAAAAAAATCCATATCTCTATTTAGCAGAATAAATTAATTGTAGTCTTTTCCTATAGTGGAATACTATACATCATTGAAAAATGAACAAACTAAACATTAGTTTTTTGAAAGCTGTATTATTTAGGGGTATTAAATATGGTAAAACTATTTTCACAAAGGAAAATAGCCCTGGCCAGTGTGGTTCAGTTGGCTAGAGTGTCGTCCCATACACCAAAAGGTGGCAGGTTCAATTCCTGGTCAGGGCACATACCCAGGTTGTTTTTGCAGGTTCGATTCCTGATCAGGGCACATGCGGGAGGCAACAGATTGATGTTTCTCTCTCACATAGATGTTTCTTTCTCTCTCTCCTTTCCTCTCTCTAAAATCAATTAAAAATATAAAAGCAAAATAACATGAAATTGAAGGAGATTACTTTTGATGGGAAAGGAAGAAAATGGGAGATATTTAAAAGGTTTCAAAGTTATTGTTAATGACCCATTTCTTAATCTGTGAGATAGGAACACAAGATGCCATTACATTGTTCTTTAAAACCTACATATAACCTTTTATTCACTCTTTTAGAAGAGATTTTTTATCACAAAAATTAATCCTCAATATACAAGAGAATAATTTGTTCTTTTGGCTATTTTATTGTCTTGATTTAACAAATACAGAAAACTTCATACAATTACCCATTTAAAAATGGGCAAAAGAAAAAAAATTAAAATGGGCAAAAGATTTGTAGAGACACTTCACCAAGAGAAAGGATGAATAAGCACATACAAAAGTGTTCAGTATCATTATCCATTTGGGAAATACAAATTAAAATCAAAATAACTATAAGTACGCATCCACTATAATGGCTAAAATAAAAAAGACCGACAATACCAAGTGTTAACAAAGATGTAGAAAACTAAAACTTTCATGTGTTGCTCATGGGACTGTAAAATGGTACAGCCACTTTAGAAAACAGTTTGCCAGGTTTTATTTAAAATATAGGTAGAAGCATAGAACAGACTGATGAATCTCTGAGGGAAGGCAGGGGTGGGTGGGGACAGATTAACCAAAGAATTTATATGCATATATGCTTAACCCATGGACACAGACAATAGTGTGGTGAAGTCCTGGTGGGGGCACGTGTGGGGTGGAGAGGGTCAATGAGGGAAAGAAGAGGGACATCTGTAATACTTTCAATAATAAAGATAAACATAAATAAAATATACATTTACCATACAACACAGTAATTCCAGTCCTAGAGAAACAAAAAAATATCCATGCATAAATTTGTATGCCACTATTCATACATAACATTATTCATAATAGCCAAAACAAGGAAACAATGCAAATGTCCATCAATTGGCGGATAAACAAAATGTGTATATTCATACAATGGAATACTACTTAGAAATAAAAAGGAACAAGTGGCTGTCACATATAACAATATGAATGAACCTCAGAAAACATTTTAAATTAAAGTCAGACAGGTAAGACTACACATTGTGTGATTCCATTATATAAAATTGCTAAAAATGGTAAAACTATGAAGACAGAAAGCAGATCAACAGTGGGCTGGGGTTATGAGTAGGGATTGGCTGCAAATGGACACAAGGGAACTGTCTGGAGTGACAGACATAAGTTGTGATGGTTATGCAACTATATAAAGTTACTAAAATTAATTAAACTATATATTTTAAAAGGGTAGCTTTTATGGTACATTTATACCTCAACAAAGCTGTTTTTAAAATGCTAAAAAAAAAACACCTCTACTGTTTTTGATCTGTGATTTTTTAACTGTGGGGAATATACTAAATAAGGAATCTTAAAGGTTCAAGAAGCATCTTCATGAGTCAGCAACCCTTCCTACACAAAGCAGAATTACAATAAATTATATATTTTTTATGTGTCTCTCAAAAGACTTCCCAAAACATTCTGAAATGGAAAAACTCTATTAACCCACTTGATCTCATTTATAGCTGGGATGTATGTGGAAAAATAATTTTTTTGTTTGGTTCTTCATTTCTGTGTAATTCTGTGATCATTTGTGCATCTAACAAATAGTTATGTAATGCTTGAACCAAATCAACTAGTGCAGTAGTAATTTTTGCTTTATGTTCTGAAAGGTTTAAACCTTACTGGAAGAAAGTTATTTATACAAATATACCCAATAATGGGAATTTGGGAATTACAAAAAATGTTATAAGTATAAATCATAGAAACCAGAGCTATTTGCTTAGGATTTTAAAATATAAGTATTTATTATATTCTTAAATAAAATATAAATATCAGTCCCCATTTTTCCTCCCTAAGGAACTAGTAATAATCTAAATAACTTGAGTTAACAAATCAGAATTTGTGTGCCCCACATTGGGCTAGTTTCATTCCATTTTGCTGGATGTCTCCTGGCCTCAAGGCCTTTACTACAGCATTCATAAACTTTTACTTATGCATTTGTTCAAAGGTCTCTCTGTGAGTTTTAAGTCTTTGTCTTCTCCACATCTAGATATCTGTATCTACAGATCTATGTGGGGTTTTTTTCTGTGTGTCATGAAATTAAGATCACACAATATACCCCACTCCACATCTAGCTTTTATTTAAAATATACCATGGAAATCCCTCCAAGTCAACATATATAGTTCTAACATTGTTTGTTTGTTTTAATATATCTTTATATCTTGATTTCAAAGAGAGGAAGGGAGAGGAAGAAAGAGAGATAGAAACATCAATGATGAGAGAGTCATTGATCAGCTGCCTCCAGCACGCTCTCCACTGGGGATTGAGCCCGCAACCCAGGCATGTGCCCTGACTGGGAATCGAACCACTATCTCCTGGATCAGAGGTTGATGCTCAATCGCTGAGCCACACCAGCCAGCTCTAAGATTCTTTCTAATGGCTGTATATCCTCCTTCCAAGTGGAAATATCAAAAGTGACCCTAGCTGTTTTGGCTCAGTGGTTAGAGCATCAGTCCTCGGATTGAAGGGTCCCGGGTTCAATTCCAGCCAAGGGCACATACCTCAGTTACGGGCTCCATCCCCGGCCTGTCAGGACACATGCAGGAGGCAACCAATCGATCTCTCTCTCTCTCTCTCTGAAAAGCAATGGAAAAAATATCCTTGGTAAGAATAAATAAAGTATAAAAAAAAAGTCATCCATTACCTCGCCAATGGGCATTCACTGTTTCCAGCTTTTTGCAACTGTAAACAGTACTGCAATAAACACCTTGTACTATATGCTTATGTTTTGCTTCTATTTCGATAGGATACAGGTCTAGTGGGCTTACTTGGTCATTTTATTACAAGATGCTGCCAGATCATTTCCAAAAAGGACAGAAACTCAAATTTCCATGCAGTGGTAACTTGAAAACATGTAACTACTATAAATATAACACTGCTAACAATAAACTTGACAATAATGAAAATAATTAAATTTTAAGCTCAAGTGCTAAAGTCATATCAAAAGAAAAAAGCCATTCCCTTTGAAACACTATTAGAGATTCAAAAGTCACAGGACAATTCTGCCGTCATAAAAATCAAGTTCACTGACTACTCCTGAATACCTATCTATACCTGCAATGTAGCAGGTTTGGCTCAGTGGTTACAGCTTCTGCCCCCCCC